AAGTGAGGTTTTTACTCACGAAAGCTTATGCCCAAATAAATCTGTTAGTCTTTAAGGTGCCACCAGACTCCTTGTTAATTTTCAAAACATCAGTTTAAAACTCCCCTTCTGTGTTTTTATTAATTATTATTATTTTTAAAAGCAGACATCCCAGAAGAATCCTACACTGGGGTAAGATGTAAAAGTTAAAATGTCTGGAACAGGGCTTTCTTTTAGAGAAGTTAAGAGAAAGAAATCAGTCCTACAATGGGAGCTGGCCTGGGGCCCAGTGGGGAGTGTGTGTAAGGGGGAGCCCAGTGGCGTGTAAGGGACTGGGAAGGGCACAGGGACGTGTGAGGGGCCCACCGGGTACAGGGGTGTGAGGCGCATAGGTGTGTTGGTGTGTAACACGGGCTGGGCCCCGACGTGCACCCCCCGCTTTATTATATGCGTCACGGGCGGCGCCCTCACCTTCGTGCTCCTCCGCAGGGAAGTGGCTGTCGCGCCCCGCCCCCGGAAGGCGGGTCCGAGGCCGGGGGGCGGTGACGGAGCGAGGGGGCCGGCTCCGGTTCAGAGGCAGCCGCATCCGGAGGGGGAAGGCAGGGCCCAGCCGCTGAACCAGGGCGGTAGCCGCGAGGGGAGAACGAGCCAGCGAGCGGGCGCGGAGGAGCCGGGGTTGGGCCGCGCCACTGTCTGTCCGCGGGCGGCCGGGATGGATCACCACCAGCCCGCCAGCCGCTACCAAGTGGTGAGTGACCGGCCCGGCTCCTTCCGCCGCGCGGGGATCCCCACTGCGGCCCAGGCGGCTCTGCGGGGCCGGCGCGGGGGGAGCTCACCGCGGCCACTTCCCCGGCTGCGGGGCCTGTGGCCGGAGCCGGGGAGCTCGCACCCTGCCCGAGCCTCTCTGCCCCGGGCGTGGGGGGACGTGGAGCTTCCGCCCCATGGCTGTCACGGAGGAGCCGGCCTGGGTCAGTCTCGTTGCTGTGTTGTTTTGCTGCCGGGACGCTGACGCGGGAGGGGAGCCGGGGAGCCCGGCTTGTTGTGGTGGCTGTATCGGGGTCAGGGGTGGTTACTTCACAGCTTCCGCGAGGGTGGGACGCTTGTAGGCCTTAGCGAAATGGCTCCGTAGCGCTTAACCTTGATCCCCTTTCGTGTCCCGGCGGCCGAGTGCCTGGCACGTAGGTCGTCCTCGCCCAACCCTTCTCCTGGCTCCTGAACAGCCTTATTTTTGGAGAGTTGAGGGGAAGGGGAGGGAGGCTTCAGCGCTTCTGAAAGTTAAATCACAGACCGATGTCTCCAGTCATTGCTCGACAAAGATTTATCCAAAGGAGTGAATCTCAAATTAATGACTTATTTTTATATCTGCCTGGTATTGAAAACATGGAAGGGAAATGAAGAGGGGCAGGGGAATTTCCCCAGTCCGGCCTTCCTTCCTTCATATGTGGGCTGGAGTGAATTCGTGTTTTTTTTCTTAAATCCTTTTCTGGGTAATCTGTAGTTACCTGGTTCGGGGATATGATTTCTTGTATATAGTCTCATTGGGAGAACTATTCTCCAGATTTTCAAAGAATCACGTTCAGTTGCTTCTAGATTAAATACACCTTTCTCACTGTGTTGTTTCTCCCTTCCCCAAAACAGTACATTGTCAATGGTGACACTCCATCCTGAATTGATTGTATTATGTCTCTAGTCCCAGTACCTATATTTAACATCACATACATTATGTTTGTAAAATGTAGGCTCCGCAATAGTCGCAAGAGTGAGTTAGAGCAAGCCTGAAGTTTTAGCCTTACTCAATAACTTCCTTATTTTTTGTGGCTTTTAATCCTATTTTTAAAGGACCATAATGTTAAAAAAGGTTAATTTGTGTGATGAGTCATAATTATATTTTATTAATATGAATTGTAACTAACTCGTTGTCCAAACTCAGAAGTAAATAATGAAAACAAACTAGTCAGATTCACTTATATTTAGTCCATTTCCTAGTCTTTCTGGATCTCAGAACCTATTTGGATGTAAACATTTCTGCTGCATTGTTTGCAATCCAAAATAAATGTAGATATTTGTGTTGAGATAACATTTTTAGAGTCCTAAAAAACTATTTTTTCAGAACCCACAATGGGGTAGTTGTTAACTCTCCCTTTGATAGATGGGATGTCTTTCACGTGTTACTTGAGTGCTTAACTTGGGGACAGTGCTGGATCCCCATCTGCTCTTGGATAATCACACTGCAGCAGTGTCCTGGAACGTTTTTACCACCTGTACTTTGCCAGTAGCCTATTTCTTTCTGACATAGGCCTTGCTTCTGTGATTGATGCCTTTGTCACGTCGAGACTGGATTATTGCAGTGTATTCCATGGCTACACCTTAAATCATTCTAAAGAATTTGACATGGCCCAAATTGTGGCAGCCTGCTTGCTTACATACACTGCAACCAAGAGGCACTATGTTAACAGTGCTCTTTGATTTGCACTGGCTGCCTCTTGGTTTTCAGGTGGAATTCAAGGTTTTATCTTTGATCTATAGAACATTACAAGGAGAGATTAAAAAGACTGGGACTATTCTTCTTGGAAAAGAAAGGACTAAGGGGGGTATATCATAGAGGTCTAAAATCACAAATGGTGTGGAAAAAGTGAATAATGAAGTGTTAGTTACCCCTCCATGTAACATAAGAACCAGGGATTACCCAGTGAAACTAATAGACAGCAGGTTTAAAACAAACAAAAGGAAGTCTTTACGCAATGCACAGTCAACCTGTGGAACTTGTTGCCAGGGGATGTCATGAAGGCCAAAACTATAACTGGATTAAAAAAAGAATTACGTAAATTCATGGAGGATAGGTCCATCAATGGCTATTAGCCAGGATGGTCAGGGTGCAATATCCTGCTCTGAATGTCCCTAAGCCCTTGATGCTGGGACTGGATTTTGGGTTGGATCACTTGATGATTGCCCTATTGTGTCAAAGGGAATTAATTGGTCTAGCATGGGCCACTGTCAGAAGACCGGCTACTTGACTAAATGGACCTTTGGTTTGACCCACTATGGCCTTTTTTTATATTCAACAAAGGCCTTGCATTTTGATCCACCTAGTTATAAAAAGGGGAGAGGGCTGCTGGTAGAGAGTTCTTCAGATTGGCACCTTCCTTCTGAAATACCCCATTGCTCCATGGTCTGAAACAGCCTTCTTGGCATACTGTAAAGCCCATCTGAGCAGAATTGGCAGAGGGCGGACATTGTTGAAAGTGTAATTCGTATGGTAGGAGTTTGAAGTTATATTAAGCCAGAGTGACATCGTTATCCCACTACGAGAAAGGGACCAAGTTACCTTCTCCGTTGGATCATATGAATTGGTACCATAAACTCCCTGAACATTAAATCTCACCAAATGAGGGTCAATCCATCCTCATCATCATATCCACTCATTATACCCCACACCCAAACATAGCCACTCTATGAACTTCATACCCTCATATCTCAATACCTGTACTTTGACCCATCAACCTTTTACCCCCAATCGGGGATATTGCAGATTATGTATTCCTTATGCCACCTGATCTTAAACCAAACTTTGCACCCTCGATAATCTGTACGTTATTCCCTAGTAACCAGAAACTTCTATGCTGAAACTGTTCACTTTTTTTTAACATCTTAATAAAATTTTTAATTCATTTGATTGATGTGTGCATGATGGAAGGAAGAAGCATTAGTCAGCTTGTTTTGCATGTCCTTTTGTTTTTTAAATATGAATAAAATGCCCAGTTTTTTGGATGAGTGCCCTTGTGGGTGGAGTTCCTACAAGTGCAATTGAAATAAATGCAAGAGGTAGTTCAAATAGCTCACCACATAAATTACCTGAAAATGACTACATAAAGGTTAATGTAAATGAATTTTGTAATTATAGCAATTTTTGCTATTAACTTCATTCAACTTTTTTACATTAAAATAGTGTGCACTGAACTTGGATTAGGTCACAGTGAGAATAACATGCTTAATTTACAGTATATGCCAACAAGAGCTCATTTTGAAAGGGCTATTGTTGTATCATAGGAAGGACCATGACTGTTTCAGTCATATTTTATCCTGTCCATCAGCATGCAGACCTGACACTATCAACTGTATCAAATACAATTGTGCACATACTGTAATGGCTCCAAAGGGTGGAAGAACCAAAACTGTTTTAGATTCACTGTACAATATTAGCACCTTGCCATGACAGCACATAATCTTATTTTGAAGATGGTAATAGGCGTTTCTAATACTTGGTTTTGTGAGCCTCCCACTCCCTATTGCTAAGCTCATTAAATCCAACCAGTACCATAACTGCATTGTGTGTATCTTTTTTCTTTTTTCTGGTATGATAATAGCAAATATGGATTTCTTTTCTTTTCTCCCTCTCCAGCTCTTTGAGCTGTTTTCTCCCCAACCTTTCCTCTTGCTGTGACTCCAGGATATTTTTTCTGGTAAATACATCAGGATGATGAATTAATTCTCCTACTATTGTTGACTGAATAATTAATACTTCTATGGCTTTTGAGGAAGTAGATCATCAACTTCCCGTAAAAAGTTTTTCAAAAAGATCATTTTTGTTCAGTTTAATGAACATTAAGTTACAATTTTAACTCAACACACACTGTTCTGCATAAGAACTTTGACTCCAACATTTCCTTGCTTTATTTCTTTGACAGAATTTATTGAAGATTCAAAATATTAAAAGAACAAAACTTTCTCTACCATTTTTGGATAAAAATACAAATATATTTTTAATATGTTAAATTGCAGTGTTTTAATGGTTGTATTTGCAAATGTATCAGGGGAGGGGGAGAGTTGCAAACTAAGACCCATAAGTAGATCAGAGTGTTATGTAACTCTCTCTCCTAGGACATGTGTAATTGGTAATGCTCTCTATACCTCCTTTTCTGTTGAACTTCTGCTGTGCTGTGAACAACTGGGTAGAATTTTGTCATCCTCATCCTATTGGGATATGACAATTGTCACCCTTTTTTCATATTTTCTTCCTTTTCCCCTCAGTAACTTGTAAACTGAAGTCTTATTGGTTCAAGTGCTTTACAATTCGAAAATCTCATTATGAACGTGAACAGTGCTGCTATGCCCTTTTCTGTTTCACCCCTTTGTCTCCTTTTTCCTGCTCGGTTCATTGTCAAGTAATTGAAGGGAGACATCAACCCTAGTGGAATTGTAACAGCAGAGAGAAATTTCTTCAGTAATCAGTTTTCCCCACAGCTTCTTATTTGTATGCTCGTTTTCTTCTTTAATTAGGATAGTATTATTCTGGTGTCTAATTGTTTTAATTTTTTTATTCAAGCATGTCTGCGGAAAAATCTGGTTTTATTTTTTTTAATTGATATGTTGGTCCCTATTGGAGTAGAACACTAGCAATCGAGTAGTTAACTGCAAATATATAGAAGCTAGGGCTGTCAAGCAATTAAAAAAATTGTAATTAATCGTGCAATTAAAAAAAATTAATGGCACGATTAAACCATAATAGAATACCATTTAAATATTTTTGGATGTTTTCTACGTTTTTCAAATATATTGATTTCAATTACAACACAATACAAAGTGTACAGTGCTCACTTTTTATATTTTTTGATTGCAAGTATTTTCACCGTAAAAAACTAAAGAAATAGTATATTTCAATTCACCTAATACAGGTACTGTAGTGCAATCTCTTTATCATGAAAGTTGAATTTACAAATGTCGAATTATATTAAAAAAAAATGCACTCAA